GTTCAGTTAAACGACTTTTTATTTGTAGGGCTCTGGTCTGTTCCTTTTGGAAGTTGCATAAATGGCCTTTTCCTTTTTTTTGAACTTTTTTGCTTTAATTTAATAATTTTCCCCTTTTTGTTTAAAGTTTTCAATAATAATTCAATTTTGTCTTTTTGTACGGATATTTTTCAATTATTTTGTTTTTTTTTTCTTTTGTGTTTTTGCTTTTTTATAACTCCCCGTAAAATCATACTAACACAACGACAAGAAGCATATCAAAGAACCTTTCTGTTTCACTGCTCAAAACTGACTCCCCCGCTGACAAATCAAAGCAAACCAAAACCTACTCTTTTCGCATGATTTCTTCTTTTTTCCTCTTTTTTTTCTCTTTTTTCTTTGGGTTGCTATCTAGCGGCTAACCTCTATTCTTGCAAAAAAAAAGCACCAAATCGCAAAATCACGCGATTTTGCATAACGGGATGCCGTTATTGCTATGTTTTCGGCTGACACGGATCGACTGACACCCTACCCTAAGTTTATTCGCGGACGTTACAAAATGTATGAAAAGGCATAGGCCATGCAAAATGTATCGAGATGTGGGATCGCGATGCAAAATATATAGACACACACGTATAAACATGTATAAACACACATAAACAGAAAAATACACTAATTCTACATGAAATGTATAAAACTGTAGAAACGCATTCAAAGTATTCGTAGGTAGGGAAACGCGTAATGTACACATAGGATAGAAACATAGAGGGAAAAAAACCGTGTCGAAGGGAAATTTTGTAAGCATATCGAGCCTAACACTCACATACCTAACGATTAACAAATCAGGCGATTTAATACCTAGAGCAGCAATGACAGTGAAACGAACAGAAGAATAAGCATACAAACAAGCATAGCGAGTCTAGCACTCACATGCCTAACGGGCAACAAATCGCGCGATTTGGTACCTGGGTCAATACTACACAAATGCATGGCAATAGAAGAAGCAGAAAGTTAGGCATATGAGCAAGTATAGCAATAAGGTAGACATAAGTTGGCACGTAAGAGAGTATCAATACTAAGTTATGTATATGTAATTTCATGCAGGCCGTAACTGAGGTTGCGACCGATGGTCGGACAAACACGTCGAAGCCAACCTAAATTAAGCGCACGTATAAGTTAGGGGATGAGCTGGTTTAGCTTTAATCGCCATCCCAGAAGCACCGAGGAATGTATTTCTTTTTATTGACATAATCCAACTAGGGACAAACCAGTGGCCCAGAAGGGTAAGGTAGCTGCTATGACACCTGCGACGTATCCGTTTCTTTTTAGCAACTCGCGATATCGGAACAAAGAAATCTAATAACACGTGTTCGAACAATCGATAATAAAATTCCAACGGAAAGTCGGGTCACCACGCTGGTTTTCATCTTACCTCTCTTCAAGTCGCTTATAATCTTCTCATCTAAAAATAAAAGTAAAGTAAGAACACACCCGAAGGTCCGATCCATTTTTTTTTATAAATTGTCTTGGAAAGAGTCCTAGAGTGGCTGAGCTTACCCTGCCCAAGAAGACTCGTTACAATGATCAAGACATCTCTTAAAGCGGTGCCATAGATTCATTTTATTTTTTCTCAAAAACGAAAGCGTGTTGATCCACCAAGGAACCCTAGCTCGTTTAAAAGAGCTGTTGGATTGAGGAATAAAAAGATGAGCAGCCGTACGAATCGCTTTAGACATAATAGCAGCATCATGTTTGCAGTTCCTGTTAAATGGCTTTGAATTCAGAAATGACTCGGTCTGTTTGGAGTAATTGATCCAATCCGCTTTATCTAGGAGGAATTTGGCCTGTTTTAATGGAGTAACAGAGGACATTGAAAGTTTAAGATCGATTATGATTGGAAAGTGATCACTATTATGTAGGTCATCAGAAATAGATTAGGAAACCAAAGGAAGAAGAAACGGAGAGAAACTTCTTAAATTAATATGAGAAAAGGTGTGATGAGTTGAAAAGTGCGTTGATCTTCCATCATTTCATTTCTTGTTCACTGTCGAGCCCCAGATGGTATTCCAGCTATTAAAGCCGCCGCAAATAATTAATGAGGGGGAAAGTACAGAGAATAAATATTCGGCCTTGCCCGATTATAATGTTCTTATTGATTATAGTTGGTTATAGTTGGTTATAGTTGGTTATAGTTTACTCCGGTTGTCATGCACTTTATTTTAAGATCATGTGGGTGTGTAAAACACCCACGATCAATTGATTTAGAATTATTTTCTCTGTTCATCCTTCCGTCGCTCTGACGTTCGTGATTTGGGAAAAAAAATGAAATGAAGATTCAAATTGTCCGCAAGAACCACACGCGCTTACCGCCTGCTAAAGAGGAGAGAGACCGATGCAAAACCGGACACGTCTCGTTTGTTTCATGAAAACAGTATGGCTCTATTAAACGGAAGTGGCTCTTATGACATCAGAGAAAGGGTTGACATTGCCAATCTTACCGGATCTCAACTGATGACACTTTTTGGTCAGTCACTGTCCGCTTACGACCACTTATGGCTATTATTATCTACTTACGCTTTACTTACATCCTAGCACCCCTTGCCAAAAACCAGGACATGTGAGATAAAAATGAGGGACGATTTTGATTCCTCATGGGCTTAATGGAAACGAAGAACCAGCATATTAACTTGATGAGAGAAACGTGGCTTGAATGACCTAATTATTTGAATCCCCTCTGATATGACCAGTCCTACGAAAATTGAGACTTGATGTAGCAAAAATCTCTACATTTAAAGTTTATGATGACAAGTTTTTAATAGAAATATTACATAAAAGTTATACACAAGAAACGAGAATTTTTTATAAAATATACACATAATAATAAGCTTTGGATTGGTAAAAAGCTTTAATTTTTAAAGTTTTCTCATAAAAATTGTTCCTAACAGTAACTTGACATAAAAATGAACTGTTTCTAGTACAGGCCACGTATGCCTACTTTGTGGGTCTTCATCCCATCAAATGATCTTCGTTAAAAGTGAATTTTCATACGGCAGAAAACTCTAATTCTTCATGTACTTCATGACGAAAATAGATGAAAAATATAAAGCCATCTTTTAGATGTGATCAAAGGAAATTGTAGAGTTCTTGTAGAGAACGATTGTGAAGGTTGGATATAGAGCGAAAGCACTGTAAATTTTATGTTTAACATTATTTGTATCGCTACGGCTTGTATGTATGAGCCTAAATTTATGCGTTTGTGAGGTATACTTAATTTTATACAAACACCAACTCCTTGTTTGGAATATGAACTTTGATCAGCATTCGTGAAGTATCCAGTATATGATTTGGGTGGAATAGGATTAAAAGAGATCCTACAATGGGTTTCTTGAAGCGATAAAAAGGGTGGATTAAAATCACTTATGAGTGTACGGAGTTCATCAAAATTTTTAAGAAGTCCCTTAATGTTCCATTGTAGAATTTGAAAAACTTCATTTAATTATAGTGATATGGAGTGGAAAGTAGGTTAAGTTGACATGTCAGCGTCTCCGTCGAAAATGTCACTATAAGAATTTTGCGCGAATAATTTATTCTTACCAGCAGAATAATCTGTACTTAGGTGTTTGCGTAAATTTGAAGTGCGACGAGTGGGCACACGTGAATAATTTGAAATTCAAGATTGATTGAGGCATGAAAGATTGGATTCATTACAATTTGTTGAGTAGAATTGAGAACTGGTGATTCTGGGGGATTTAATTTATTAGATTTTGGCATGTGTTCTTTTTTGAATTTTTTCAATATTTGCGGTTGTTTTGATTATTTCAGTGTTATCTCTTGCGAATAATGGAATTGATTTGGCAATGTAATTTTTGGTTGATGGTAGAACAGGTTTTTCATTGGAAGGAGTTGGAGTTAAAGGCTTATTAGGCTCAATTTGCGAGGCGACAACAGCGTAGGTATTGCTTTTGCTTATTCTTTGGGCTCCAGATGGATTACTTTCCTGGTATTTGCGTCGCCCTTCGTCCGTGCTACAGTAATTTTCTGTTTTGATTAATAGAATCTCACGCATTTGTATAAAACGTAGGCATTGTTTATCTAACGCTGAGTGTTGATCATTGCAATTTATGCAGAAACTACGTGTACAGCTTTCAGCATGTGGAGGAAGACCACAGTTAGCACAGAACGATGCACTGTTGCACCTTTTTGCCGCCTCATAGGATTTGGAATGTATAGTTCTCCTTTACATTTATATCACACCACATCAACTCGCGGTAATCGAGAGCGATCAAAGGTTAAAATAATTCTTCCTGTAGGAGAGCGAGTTTTTCCGTCATCATTCAGATTGGTGAATTTATATACTTCACTCACTCTTTGATTTCGCGAACAATTTCATCTTCCGGCACATACTTTAAACACGGGGCATAAATTACGCCTCTAACTGAATTAAGTTTTTCATGCAGTTTAGCGGAAATAGCACATAAATTAGCTAATGATTTCGACTTTATTAGCTTTTCGGTTGCGCTCGGGTTCCCAGCGAGGAGAAGTAAATTCCCATCGCGTAAACTCGATATAGACTCTATACACGTTGTAATGCTATCTAGTGCTTTTTTAATAGCTGGGCTGATTTGCGAAATTATTATGGAGGAATCAGTTGGAGAAATCACAACACATTTTTTGTCGATAGGAACGATGCTACTAGTTGGCAACACCGGAAAGTCGGAATATTTAATATTTTTTCTTTTTGGGGGATACTAATAGATGAAATCCATTTGAGCTTTTATCTGAAGGCCCCGGGGCCATTATGCCTTACGGCTGTCTATTATTTAGTAAATTGGGAAATAACCACTCACTTGAAAAGGTTTGGGAACTGTGGAAGAAGGTTGGGAATTACTAAAAGAAAATGTCAATTGTTTTCAATTTTTTTATTTTTATTTTTCTTTTTTTGTTTTTTTTATTTTTTTATTATATGTAGAGGAAACAAAAGCACATACGAGGTATCCGCGTTAACCAGTTTTAGCAAAAACACTGAAAAGACAGGAGTTAAATACACAAAAACAAAGAAACAATTGAAAAATCGCAGACGAAAAGAAAACACGTGCTATACTCTACACAAGTCGACTCGGTATGCAGGAAAAATAAATTTTTTTTTTACAACTAGAAGTAGCCTTCGTATACATTTTCTCAAATATTTTAGAAAAAGTAACCAGTAAACTTGTTGGCTTACATGATTTTACAACATTTTCTGGTCATTTGATATGCCTAAATGAATTTCGACTGAAAAAGTTGTTCTTTTAATCATTGCTTATCTAGCGCAGATTCCTTGCAGCTGTATTCAAATTCCTTTTGTACAAAATAGCGTCTGTCAACCACAAATGTTATCACACAACAATTACATGAATTGCATTACAATAAATCGTGAAAAAAAAGATAGAATATAAGCAAACAAAACGAAAATTTTTCATTAAGTCTACAAGCATAACGCACCTATAGTGAATTTAACAAAATCACCGCCAAATAATTCTACAGTATAAATATTCAAACGGACAATGCGAATGCAATATTTCGCTAAATTTGATCAGGTTCTGCATAAATCTTAGCACAGCTAATCGCTGCACACATTGTTGTTAAATACTTGTGTTTCAGAAAAACACCTCATACAAACGAAATGAAAAGAATTCATCATCTGGTAAGTCAAAGCTGAAAAAAAACCAAAATATTGTGCGGTTTGCATTATTCAGTGGATGACGTAATCGATTAGACAACAAAGCGCAGATATTTTTCCACAAATCGATCAGTGAGTGATATAACCAACTAAAAACGAAAACGCGAGAAAGTTTCTTCAGAAAAGGACCATTAAGTGGCATAATACACAATTCGACTGAAGATCAAGTGCTGACGACCCAGGACAACGGGAGAAAAAGTACAACGCGTGTTCCGTTTGTATGAGTTTGTTATTGATTGATTTGTTGTTGAACAACAAACGTCAAATTTAGCTCGTATTTTCCCATTAATTTTTGCAATAAATGTCGAATGACGAAACACCAATACGTGTCCATTTTCTCAGCATACGAAGCATAAATTTAATTATACAAATACCGAAGGTCTTGACAGAGGCCGAATTCACGAAGAAATCGAACATCTCGCGAAAGGCGAAGTGTTTCTGTTGGTACTACTGTTTTCTATACACTCTAACAGCACATGTAACCACTAAATACACATTAGTTGGTGTTGGGGAAATTACTCTATTTTACAAAAGAAATTCGTAATAGTCAAGTAAAATCGTAAGACATAAACAAGACATAAATTATAAATTTTCAAAAAGTCTATAACTTTTCTATATACTTATAATTATCTAGCATAATAAATGTAAAAAATAAATGTAATATTAAATACCACCTATGTGGATTAAGAAATATACTACACACCCATACTTTAAGAAAAATACTACAAAATCTGAAAGTTAAGAAGTATGTTACAAGATCTATAGGTAAGGATATTTACTTAGTTTGGATCTACAAATCCCCTATATCAAGATAGATCAACATTATATTTACTAATGCTAAGACTGTTTAGAACGTGTTACATAAATAGATATAAAAACGGGAAAAAAATTTTTTATTTTTTTTAAATTAAATAATTAAAATAATTATAAAAAGAAAAAAAAATTTTCTATAAAATAGGGATGTAATGTCTCTAATATATAACATACCAATTTATTTTTAACGTAATTCTAGTGGCCTAGTTTATAATAGCATAAGCAGTTATATTTTGTTATTAGCGTAAGCATTTATAGATTTTTTTCTTAGTGAAAGCATGTATTTTATTTGACCCAATTTTAATTTTTAGTAATGTGAGCGTTCATTCAATCAATTCAGTTGGAATCAGAATAAAACCTATTCAATTGGATTCAATAACTTTGATCCATTTGGGAATAATTATTAATCCTCGAACACACGTACATCGCAAAAAGTCGCCAAACTTCGCTTGAGCAATGCGTAAATGGTTGGATTAAATTACTAAATAATATAATACCGAAAAGCAATTATACTTTATGCTTCGCTAGCATCGTCATCCTGACACTTGTCTGATATCACCAAAATCACCACGATCTTATGACGTACACTCGTTATTTATTTATAGCATGACAATCCTGTATGTTCATAACACTTTATTGAGCATTAATATCGAACACAGTCCACGTAGTTCCTTTTGTGTCAATTTTTTTTATTTTAATTAAAAAAATGCATAAATTCCACATAGTAAAAATATTAATATAAAAAATGTAAGAAATATCTTAAATAACTTTCCAAAAATTAAAATGCAAACGGTGAGTACTAAACATTTGATTTAAACTAAACTGAACTTCTCTTGTTTTTGCTTAACAATGACGATGGTTTTCCGACTGTTATCATCTCAAATACTAGTCAGTAACATTTCAGACGTGTCTTGTAACGCATATTGTTGACGTGCTTGTTTTTGCGCAGGTAACAAACTATTATTTGAGTAATTAATTGTTGTTTTCTTAAAAGTGAAATCATCGTGATTTCTTAGTTGATATTTAGTTTTCACGTGACTATAAAAGCGCAAACAATACAAACCTACGAATTGCAAATCCATCATCTATCACCATACATGTGATCGTCGCTGATGAAAAAAGGTCGGATAATGATATATGCAATTTTTGCACTTAGTTTCATCCCAAGATATTTCTTATATGTGAGGCACGATGGTATACAATGTTACGAATGAAAAGTATTTACAAGTAACAGCATATTTCATTGAGTTCAGATCATCTCCACCTTGCAAATGTGAATAGAAGCAGTTAAGCCAAGGTCACGTTCACTTTATGACGATTATTTGTTACCCTTCAGACTTATCTTGTTCATTTTGTTAATGTTAGGTGCGTTAGTAAAATCAACTTGCGGACAACGCCAAGTAATAATCGTAAATTATTTGTAGCGATATATTTATTTCATAAATTATGAACTGCAATTTTTTTGTCCGCATTTTCAGTTCGTTAAATGTTATGACCATTTTAATTTTTGATTAAGGAATACAGCACACTTAGTTTCAGCTTTTTATCGCAATTTTCCCGCTTGCCAAGTGCTAAATCTACTTATTGTTAAATTGAGTTGAATAGACCACGAAAAAACCCTACGTATTTAAAATATATTTCTATATATTAGAAAGTGAATGACAAGATTACCATGTTGGCAACGTCAATAAGAGGGAGATTCTTTAAGAATAAACCTGCTTTTTGACAGAGTGATGAAAGAGTGCACTTGCAGCTTGTTAAACAATTATCCAATATGATTCTGTTTCATCAAATTTCAAAGGCGCAATTAAAAGTCACGTGAAATGTAAGACTTGTGTGTAACAAACTAAATACGTAATTGAGGACGTTTAAAATAAGTAGAAATTAATGAAAGCACGATAAGATAAACAATTAACTATAATACAGTTTAGAATATTCTACATCAGTGGTATTTATAGTAACACCTTTACAAAATACTACACTATACAAACACAAGCAAAAGTGCGTTGTCAGGAATGACTTATGGGCTTATTATTGACATATGCAAACTCCATCATCAAAAACAACCTTTTTTTGAGGTATATTTACTTGTAGTTCTTTTAGTTACCACTAACAGAATGCTTCGAATTTTTCTCTTGGGAAAAATTCCTCAAGTCGAGAAGACGTCTATTTCAACCTTAAACGGTTTATTTAGTGATCACATTTCTGTCCATACGGGCGTTTCAAATGCGAATGACGGAATCACCACACCGACATCTTTGCTTTGTAAGTATAAAAGTAAAAAATGAAAATACCGTTGTAGTTTACATCGAAAATTCTGAAATATTTGTTTCAATTGCGCAGTAAATATGAATCTTGAGTGACTTGTTGCACTATTCCTCCTAGCCGTAAATTTAACTTTTATTTTTTATGGTTGAATTTTATGTATGCTACTGGAAGAGTAAGCTTGCTATAGGCAGAACATGTTCATGTGGTCCTGAAAAAGTAGTGTGTATGTTCAACAGTTTTATTTACATTTATGTCATTATTAACGTTTCATACACAAGACAAGGGTTATGTAGGCTTCTAAACTTTAATATATGTAAATAGGTACACACATATAGGGAATTCGATATTTGTACACGTATATACACTAGACCCGCGGAACTTCGTTTCAGAAAAACACGGAAAAATAAATAATATCTAAATATAATAACATTTTTAATGTTTGATATTATTTGCTGGAAAATGTTGACGTTTAATTTTCTGTTATATAAGCAAGCAATTAAGTGATTATTAGTCTCATTGACTTCTTTCGTTGTCTTCCCTCTCTCCTTCTCAGTCTTCCTAATTCATTTCTACGTGGCCATTGCTCGAGCTTTTTCAATCTCGCCTTCCTATTTGTGGCATTTTTGTTCATAATGCAAATCGATACAAATTAAGATTACTTACGTATCAAATGCTGCTAAGTTATTTGTTTTTACATATATATTATTTGAATACTTATTAAAATGTAGTAATTTTTCCTTTCGTCTATAATAAATGTTACAAGATGTGAATACTTTGACAAACGAATAAAGGCCAAATTATTATTATTATTATCAAATCGTTTACATATTACGGGTAAAAAAAAATTATAGGAAAATTTTATTACAATCAGGCTAATAACCCAAAAATTAGCCCACATGATCATCTATAAATGAGCAGTAACATTACACGACTTTCTTAAGACGAAATAAAAATTACGTATAAAATTTACTTCAGTCATACGGCCGATTTCGTTGTTTTGGAAAGACACGCATGCGCCCAAGTTCATTTCACATACATAGATATACTCAGAGTAAATATATATACACAATAACTACACATAAAACCTATTGTATTACAAGTTGAGATGAGTTCCCTGGGGTTGATTTACAGTTCTCGTTACTGGATTAGTTCATGTGACGAAACATAAAAACGACACGATCATTTTTTGGTGATACAAATATGAAATTTCACATTCGATCACGTCCGAGCTATTGCGATAGTGGGAACTGTAAGCCGACTCTGCGTGATTTTCTTGGCTACGAAAATTAAATATACATTTAACATATGTAGCAAGTTAAGTTAGTTTTAATAACTTTTCTATTTAATAGATTTGTAAACGCGTCATATCGGTAGTATGACAGAAAGTACGAACGTGAATTCCTTTCTCTCCGGGATTACCATAAATGCGGCAAAGGAAAAGTCAGTTGGCTTAACAAAGCTTATGATTAACCATGGTAAACCAAATTTTACTGTACAACGTTATGTAAAATCGACAAATTGCAGTAAAATTGACCTTCCAAAGAAGGAGAGGAGTGCTAAAAGCGAAACTAACCTTAGAAGAAGTGCAATGAATGACGATATAGGACCTGTGATCAACAGTTCAGAAGAGTCCAGCAAAACGACGCCATCATTATCTCTCCAAGAAAATGAGCAAAGCAGAGTTGTGCTAAGAAGAACTAAAACAATTGAAAGAACTCTTAAAGAAAGCGACATGGATAAGATTCCCGAATTCATTCATCGTCAACGACGTATTCAAGAACGCTTAGCCAGAGAGGAATTATTGGATTTTGAGAACAGACGAAGTGGTTATCATATCCATTGCATGATAACACCTGCCTCTCCAAGCCGCCAATCATTTGTACCAACTATGACTAGCCCGGCTGTAGTACCTGCCCTGGAAATCCATTTTGAAGAGGCGAGAAGCTTGGCTGAAGAACAGGGAGAGACAAGGAAGGTGGTGGTTTATGGAGAAAGTAGAGATGGTGCAACTAACAGGCAGACAGATTATGATACCCGGACTACTTCATACAAAACGAACGGTGGAGCGGGCGAACAACAAAAAGTGATCGAAGCTATCGTAGAAATCAATGAGACCATTGAAGCTGATGAGTTACAATTAGTATCCAATAATAATAATTCGCTGAATCAAACAAAAAAAAATAAAGATACTAGTGGATTTATACGCGAATTTGTAATGGGACAACGCAATGAAATAAAGCAGTTAGTGCAAGAGATTACCGAACAAGCTTTAGCTACTGCGATTGACAAAGACATTCATTTCTATTCTGCATTCATAGCAAAACGGTAAAAGCCATCGAGAAAAATTATATGAAATGTATCAGATTTGTTAAAGTTTCGAAACAAAATTTCGAGAAAATATTTTTTCGCGCCGAGTTTGAAAAATTAGCTTGCTATATTATATGACGCGTAAGACGACGGCATGGAATTGAAAGGAATTTTAATAAATTATTATAATGAATATGGACAAATTTTTTTATTGTTGAAAAATGTGTTCTTGGCTTAGAATTACAAAAATGTATAACGTTGTTTAATTAACAAATGATTTTAAGAATAGATTGCGGAATTCTGTTGCGCATCGAAATTTATGCCTTAACGCCAAACTTCTTGATAAAATTGAGTGGGGGTGATGCAATATTTTAAGTTATTTTCATTGAATTGCAGAATTTGGTTACCGGTATGTGGTTTCTGTCCAGCATTAGGACTATCGAAGTTATATATACCTATTTTCAGCGAAGTCGGTCAATTTGACTCACTACTGTTGTCACAAACAAACAATGGTTTAAGGGGAAAACAGATAAGAAATTGAAGCAACCTCTAAGAAACTGCGAAAGTTTGTTTTTATTTTCAGCTCCCTTACTTTCGTCTTAACTTCTGTAACGTGAAAGCAGTTCAAAATAAATACCAAGGTAAATAAAAAGGCTTCCTGCCCAGCGCATCGATCTATCATGCATACGTCCGTTTGCGTTTATTGTATAATTTCTTTTATTATCTCTGTTGCCCTTTTTGGTGTCGTTCCTGTAAATAAAATACCAATTTGAAGAAGATGGTTTTTATATCAGATTAATGACACATAACTGTAGTTATGGGGCGAATGTGTCAGTTAATTATGCCTCTGACATTATACTCCTTTTGATTTAGTACGTTACCTAGAAGTTCTTACACGTTTCATTATTTGATTGACAGACGATATACGCGATTTGGTCTTTCTATTCATTGGTTCTTATAAAAATCTTTGATCTATATAATTTATAAAAAATATCATTGTAAATAACAAAATCTTCACAACTGCACTTCAATAACAAGAAAAAGAACTACAATGTACGTGTTGTTTCTATAGGCGTGCACCCACATTATTTTAATAACGTAGAGTGACTGTCTCAATTACTTTATGATCTTACTCATAACGCTCAGAAAAAAACCACCAACACTTCGGGAGACTTTGCTCTTCCAGAATTAATGAATAATTTGGTTGTATTGTGCTCTTTGAATCTTCTGAAACTAAATTTAAATAAATGTAAGAAGCTTTCTTTCTCAAGAAGGAGGTCAGTCATTACTCAGTATTTCATTGATTCGCATAAGTTGGAGGACGTCGATTCGTTTACAAATTTGGGCGTTCTATTTAACCATAGATTACGTTTTAACTTGCATATTGAGCTCTCGTTAAGCGAAGCTAGGTCCGCGCTTGGTTTTATAAAGAGGTGGTCCAAAGAGCTTGATGATCCTTACATTACGAAATAAGTAAATAAATAAATATGATGCGAGGGTTACGAGGGAGCCACATGGCAAATTCCTTAACGCAAAAAGCGCGACTTGTTTTTGCATCGATTCAGTCGCATTCGAATAACAGCGATAGGACGGATACCACACCTCCACAGTCGGACGGAGATCATACCATATACAGTCTCCTCGTAGTATATGGGTCATTCAAATCCTCAATATGAATCTAGCTTTATTTATAGTGGATGAAATATGTAGGTTAAACTGCGCTTTTCTATTAAAAAGGACACCTAAATCATAAGCCATATCTGCATCCTTCAATTTATTTGAATTAATAAAGTATTATGTATGATACACTCTCCGGTCTTGAAAACGTAATTTTGTTACATTTGCGCAAGTTCGAGGTTAAGTCATTAACGTCATTACGTAAGTTTATTCACACAACGTCCAGTTGGGGGCCTCTAGAGAAAGCCTGCCCAATGTTATTTGGTGAACTCCATGGGGTTGGTAAGAGTAGACCTGCTTTGCTCATATGCATGTTGAACAGACGAGACACGATTTTATGGCGTGCGTTATAGGCGAAATAACAATTTTCTCACACAATTTTGGCAGCACGTTCAAATTCGTTATACCTCTGTAGTCCTCAGCCGTATTCTTATCACTCCGCTTACGAGAAGTGAAAGATACTCGCTACTGCTCCACAGAATTTTGTAGTGTGACTATCTATTGTTACAGATGGGCGTCCACTTGAAGTGTGTCGCAAATTATAATAGTAAGCAAAAATTTATTAACGAAATGAAAACAACAAATTCGACCTCAAAACGCTTCAAATTGCATTTTCCCATAATCCAATTTGTGAACAAATGTAAAGAATGCAATTCGAAGCTAAGCGCACTCATTTACCATTTATACTTATTACAACATTAAGTAATTTATGCGTAAACAAGTAAGAAAATAATAAAGAAAATAAATTCGTTAGAGATGCTGAATCAACTGCAGCGTTTTATTCGCTTCGTCATGGACTCTTCCGACCGAAATATTTGGTAAAACAACGAGGAATGAAGATTTGGCGTTCTAAAGCCGAACAGTCAGATACACTATGAGGGAATCCTGGACAGTCTTTACAACGAGAGAAGTTGGGAACATATATATATATATATATATATATATACATTACACATTCATATTACCACAAATGTAACTTTGCGTGGTGATTCTGCCCACCACGACCCGGCAAACAAGGCAGTAATCTACCAGCTTTTCTTTCAACTTCCCAGTCAGCCAATTTTTTTGATTGCACAAGACAGAATCACGATTTTACCACTAATTTCGATTCTGCCAATTTCTAATCAACTTCTTTACATACTGCCAAACCCAACCTACATTAAAGGCAACCATAAAATGTTGACATGCGACCGCAAGCCAAATTTTTCGGGCACACACTTCTTATAAACCCATTCAGAGAATGATCACTCCCGACGAAAACACTGCAATACCCGGAACATCTTCTTTTAGCTAAATTTCATGTGTAAACAAAAATAACTACATATAAAAAATTAAAAATAATTAAATAAAAATTGCGTAATGCAGGTGTACGTCAAGAATATTTGGATTAACGTTAGCCGGTTCGCTCCAGATGGTAATTGAATCGATCAATTTTTTCACACAGATTTGTGCCATTCATCCAGGAGATACGGCGGCGAGGGAGGGCCACGCCATTGCAAGGATTTTTGGAGCAAATTATGCGAAAGCCACCGCGTGATCATTTCAGATAGACTGGCTTATCAGTAAAAGTGGACGCAATGAAAGTTTTGAAGTTCTTTACGCGGAAAATTTAAAGACGTTTGGTCACAGTGAACTACTCTTGCCAACAAGATGGCACCTCATAAGTCCACACAAGCGGGATCCACAGACTTGATTGGGGCTACTTTCAATAAATGCGAATTCCTTGAATTATCTTTTCCAATTCATAGCCAAACTTTAGCTTGGAGGGAGTAAATTTTCGGAACTAGCGTGCTCGACCCGATCAGCTCGTTTTAACTATTATTGCTGCCTTCAAATTTTACCCCGAACGATAAGTGGACAAACACATCTGGTCGGATCAGACCAGGCAATAGTAGAGACGATATCGCGTTTGAACTTTTGGTGTATCGGGTATATTGGGTACCAGGAGAAACAAAAGGTACCAGTGGACGCGATCCATTGAAGAAGCAATTTTTCACTAATGCCAATAACTTGCCGAACTTTAGAATCGTACAGATAATTTGTAGGAATTTTCTTGGGTAATTGGCAACTTTTCGTAACTATCTGTTTTTAACGAAAATCCTGAGGAGTTGAAACACTCAATCACGTGATTTAATGTATGGATAGTTTCGACTATTAACTGTCCACAAGACAGTGTCTTATCAACTTAAGTTTCGTGTCTCAATATTTTTGATGCTTTGGATCCTTTCCAATTTGCATTAATGTTTGAATGGCAAGAAAAAGTGCACGGTTAATTCCATAGGTTGCTGTCTTAAGACGACAATATTGTAAAGCATTTGTTAATGGATGCGTGGATGTAATTTCTTCACAAATTTTCAGAAAGGATCAATTGGGTCACACTGGTGGTGGTGTTTCAATTGCCACAACTGCTGCAGTCCCGTCTTATTTATTGCCATTCGGGAGTAAATTGCTAATAAATTACGAAACTTGTTTCTATATTCCCCCCAACGCGGGTATCCCTATTTAGAAACTAGCTGCTCTCATTTCTGAGGTCACCGAAATCTACATATATAGTCATAGCGTTGGGAGACCTCAATTTGCCACAAGTCACGTGGTAATTTTGGCTGTGGACTTCAATATTTCATAGAGCTATTATGTTTTTCAATGAATTATTTGATCGTAATTTACCTCTGTACAATAACATAATCGTACTCCTGTGTGTAATGGCAGGCCGGTAGGTATTTGCTTTGCCAATTTTCCGGAAATAGTTGTAAATCGCCGTCCAACTTTTAGTTTACTTAAGGATATAAAAATTTTCATTTCCTTTTATTCTATTACTGGCATGATGGTCCGTGCTAAATCTACCTTCCTCCTAAAGCATTCTGATTTTAATAAAACTTACATTTTACTGCCTAAATTTCATCTTTCACATATTATGTTTGATCTCTCTGCTGGGGATATTAAAACCTAGCTGTCATAAATCTATAATATATTAAATCTGGATATTTCTGCATCATTGCCGATCAAACAACAACGCCCTCGAAACCAGAGGTTTAACAAGAGAATTAAACATTCCAAAAATAGGAAAAACCAACTTTTCAAAAAATTTATGAAAGGTAATTCTGTTCACGACTATTTGCCTAGTCTGCTGCAATTTTTAATTTATTGATTTAATCACCTCAACCACCAATATTATTACAGATACACTCAGTTAATAAAATCCTCAATCGTTGGTTGTATTACGGTTGCCAACTTTAAAAGAAAAATCTATATACATCCTTCGCAAGTTTCTTTCAATCGTGCCCTCTGGTGACATCTAAACTTCTTTACTGAATGATTCAAAAGAAATTTTTCAACTGCTAATTTCGATTTAACTGTTAAGTATCCGTGTCCGATAAATACCTCGATTTTGATCCCTTGGTCTTTTTACATGGTTTGAGGTCCCTATGGTATAGTCGTGTGCTTGGACCTGATGGGATTCCATCATGTGTAATTAAATCATTCTCTGTCGAGGTTTGTGGTGTTATTTAAATGATTTTTAATCACTCCTTGAAATCAGGTGTTTTCCGTTTGTGTTGGTAGATTAATATCCTTATTCCTATTTCCCCATTCACAAATGAGGAATTGCAAAGTTGGAAGGAAAAGGAATTGAAATAGTTTGAGCGAATTCTTAGTCAGCATGTAGGTTTTGCAATCGAATCTTATATTTCTCCATTTCAGCATGGCTTTCCACTATCACGAATCTCTTAGATTTTACTTGTCAAGTTTTCAGTGTTTATTCTAGTGGCTTTCGCACGGATGTCGTATATGCTGACTTTCGCAAAGCCTTTAACTTAGTTACCCAGAATTTATTGATCTTCCAGCTCCAGATCTATGGCTTACCTCTTGACCTAGTGATATGGATAAGCTCTTATCTGCGTAACAGATCATTAAGGGTTCTTTTAAACTAAATACGGAGTATTTCATTGATTCACACAAATTGAGAAACGTAGATTCATCTATTGAGATATTTATTTATTTTACATCACTTAATCTCAATATTGGAGTCTTTAATGTCTATCGAAATCACTATGCCTAATAAGCGCGATTTGCCTATGTCGCATTTAAACCAACTTTTGTTGTTGACTGTTGTCGCTGGCCAAGTTAGAATGGCTTAGGAGTTCACTTGCAACCTGTGTTGATTGTGGGTGTTCCTCCGTGCTAGTTTTGTACATTCTTTCTTTTTTCCTTATTATTTATTTATACTTATATTGTTGCCGTTATTATTATTATTATTTTTTTTTTTGCTTCCCGTTACATACTTTATAGGAGTTTTTAATATTAATTAGTATAAGATTTATATCAACGAGTCATTTGAATTCGACTATTAATATGTTCATGAATAAGTAAAGGATTTTATTTAAATTTTAATTATTAATTTTATTTTCTTATTTACTTATTCACTACTAAACTTTCCATACGAGTATTGAAAAGCAAAATTACTGTTGTTGTTTTTGTCATTATTGTTATAAACAAAGTTGAGAGTCCTAGCGCCCTAAATGTAAGTTAATTATTAAGTTTCTTTGGAATCGTTTAGATGGCAATACATCTATATTTTTTATAGCCTTTATTCAAAACTCAATTAAAGTTTTCTGAAATGAAAAATTAATTAACTAAAAAATAGTTATTTCACAGAAAAGCTGAAGGACCCGTGATAAAGCGCTATGATGCGTTGAAATCATCTGCTTTCGAGTGAGGCAACGTGGAAATCTCAACCTTTCTTACGAGAAGCCAAAAAGGGCGGCTGCCTGTTTTGTCAGCCGTTTTGTCCTTGGTTTGTTTCTGAATTAAACATCCGGTTGGGGACATATTTTTATCGCTTACGTGGAATTCAAACCAAGGCGAACGTGTATACTTCAATTTGATATGAACAAAAAAGCCAACCGCGGCGAGCACTTGGTTACCATAACTCTAATCGTAAGAGATGAAACAAGACATAATTTAAAATTAATTTGCAAGACTATGCTAACAAACTACAAACCATAAATCATCCGTGAAATTATAATAAAGCGAATGTGCTAATTACAAATATAAAAGAACAAATGACTCTCCGTTTAAAATAGCAATTAACAAATTAAACCCAAAGGGGAGCGTTTAGAAGGAAGTATTTCAAGTTTAATTGGGACTAAAAATATAAATTAATCTTATACGACGACTCAGGGTTCCGATGAGCTTACTCCGGCCACTGGGAAGCTTCCTAATAAGTTGGCGCCCGAGCAGGGACTACGAATTGCCTTCCGCGAGTGAAAATGAAACAAAAAAAAAGGGACGCCACATATACAGGCACCAACCCAAAGACAAGATAAAAAGAGGGATTTTAAACATGAAAATCCGATCGCTATCAAAGAAATGACGTCAAACGCCGTTGATTGCATTTAAGCAAGTTAAGATATGAGTGAAAATTGGCGGACGTAAAGACTGCAAAGCAACTGACATCATTAAACCATTGTGGTCTTACAAAATGAAACGAGAACATTAAATTGATTTAGTTTGTGACAACCAAAAGAAAAGAGGGTGTTTAAAAGAATGTTGGGGAGAGCATCAGAAAAAAAATTTTTAACAGCGCTAACAACCATTCAAGCAAATGATTCTACCCATACCTCAACACTCTTTGCAACTAAGCCAAAACAGTTAGACGAAAAATGGACAGTGGTTAAGGAAGTATACAATCAAGCGAAGGATATTCTGCTTGACGTCGATTCCATCGCTTATAATTTCAATGAATACTCTCACAAAAAGTATTCTATTACGACATAGACAGAACGAGCAACGTGCAACAGCAGCAATAACCCCTGCAATATCTTCACAAAGTTTACCAAAGATATCATTGACAAAGTTTGCTTGTAATCACCTAGAGTAGAAACGGTCCTCGGAGGTCTTTGTACAACTTGAGCGCGAAAGACCCATCGCTTCTGCAGAGAAAATGTGGTGTTTAAAGGCCAATTTGACGGGAGATGCAGAACATCTGATAAGTCATCTTACTCCCACTGTACAGAAATATAATACCGCATGGAAAATTCCTCACGACAAGCATGATAATAAAAGAGCATTAGTGAGTACTGTAGTACAAAAAGTACCTGATTAGACGAAATGCTCAGGCTTAGCCTGCAAGCATTAGAACACGTACACGGCGTAACTAATGGATCTTTCATGGCATTAAAAAATTTTGAAGTCCAAACCGATGGCTCGGATTTATTTTTAATCCCAACTCTACTAAAAAAAGTCGGCAAGACAACTCATTAACCCCAGCAGACACCTGAAGACTTAAGAGTATTGTCAACCTGAAGTCAATTTTTGACTTCCTCGAAAATCGATTCCGTATTTTGGAGCCCCTGGGAAGTAAAGAGAGAGGATCTGCAAAAACATTCACTTCGGTGGCAAGTCCACCACTATTTGCAACAGAATGTTTTGCATGTAAAAACCGCACAATGTACAAAGATGACCAACATTCCTGAAGGCGACGGTTTCGCAACGAAACCAAATTATTAAATCGCACAGTGTTGGTTACAAGCGTCTTCACTTGGGCAATACGCATATCAATTGCAATATGGTCCAAAAAATGCAATAATCGCCACCATATGTCACTCCAAAAGGCAACAATCACGTTTCCATCGTGAACTGTGACAACAGCGCAATACTCAGACAACACCAACAGTTTCCCCACAACACATTGTCAGTCAACCACCAAATGGGGCAGCACATCCTGGAAAAGGCGAGTGTACCAAGTTTATGAATACGAGTATGAATCTTTAGTTCAATTGACCGAAATTGATCTCAGCACTACATTTATTTGAACCCATTTCATATCTCATCAAAGTGTGTGCAAGTAAAAAAGCTATGCTAGTAACCTAAGAGCGGTATTCGATGATTCAGCAATCATTTCATCCGAGTTGTCTTTGAACGACTTAATGCATACAGGGCCAGTTATAAACAGTGGACTAAGCTCCATATTAATTCCATTCCGACAACCCAGGTTCGTACTCACTACTGACATCGACGGATCAAGATATCCGAAGACGACAAAAGATTCGAGATCATCGCATGGTGGTGCGATCAGAGCACACCATTAAAGTTCTACAGCCTAAACACATGACTTACGAGATTCGGGCTGCCCCATACTTAGCAACCAAATGTCTACAATCTTAGGGAAAAGAATTTGAGCAAAAATATGTCGTTCTCTCTAAGGCACTATTGAAGCATTTCTTTGTGGATGTCAGCCTGTCGGGAAAAGACGGACTGTTACCAGCTATTCATATGCAAAAGGAGCTAAGTGTCGTATTAAATAGTGGGGGCTTTAATCTTCGAAAATGGTGCGCCAACCATCAACACTTTTTAGCCATCCTTTCCGAAATTTCCCGTCACACTAGGAGAACCGTTGTATCTGATGTGGCCAGAATCTTTGACCCTATGGGGCTAGTAGCAGCGGTCGTTACTATGGCGATAATTAGTTTCAACATTTATGAAAGTATGATTCATCTTAGGATCAGGAACTCCCAGATTCTATTGACAACCGTTGAATTCATCTCAGAAACAACGTCAAACGAATTAGACAATTTTCAAATCAAACAAAAGGCTGTTCATCCCGGTGAATAGAGCACTTTACAACTGCACTCATTTTCAGACGCTTCTGAAAAGACGGCGCTGCAATTTATTGAAGATCAATTCACTAAGGATGGAAGATGGTTTTCTGAAGAATTAAAAAGATCGTACCATTGGTTCTCTGGCCCGCTATTCTCTCATCCGACCTCTCAACTCTTACCCAACGAGTCAGTTGAGACCGACCTGCTAGCGGCACAAGTAGAAAGGAAGAAATTCGCTGCAGTCCAAACGAAACTATTCCCCAATTCCCATGACGTGTAAAACACCATTTACCATATCAACCACAAGAATTATTTTCAGTCATTAATCAATATTGCATAATACATCCTTAATTTTTGCATCAACGTCAGAATAATACCTAATAAACGAAACTGCAGCATTACAAAATGCTCGATACACTATAGTAAGAGCCATACAATCCGATTTTAAAGAGATACAATAACGCCGGAAGCACTATTGCGTCAGCAAAACTGGCCAACTGAATCCACTCAATCCCTTTGTGGATGAAAAAGGAGACATTCGTGTAGGAGGGCACTTGCAAATTGATGCTATGATGCTCAACATCCCAACTTTAACGTTGCCATTTGTTTGGTGGCATTATTGTTTCTACCAATTGCATTATGCAAACCAATTAGAATACAGAAAACCACTCCAGGGACAGGCATTCATTTTTATCGCTTAGGCTCATTTTATATCGTGGACGATGAATGGCATTTATTTGCGTACTATGACATGAAACCACTAAAAACTCAAATTGCTACGCTAAGCAATGGAATTAAGTGTCTGAACTACATGACCCACTCCAAAGAGATAACTTTTTTTTAACGCCACAAACGACATTGACTTTGTACGAAATATTGCTAACGCATTGTTCGGCGTGCTAGATTCAGAATACGCCAAGAGGATTCCCAGCAGCACATATTGAGCTTGCTTAAAAATCCAGCTTCTACCTTAGACTCCACCATCAACATCATCAAACAATGCGAAGCGAATACCGCAAAGGTGCTCACTCTCTTCAATCATGAGTTATCAGAAATTGCAGCCCGTATTCACTGTATGGAAGAAGGCGCCCAACAAGAGAGACTATTCAAGACCTTTGCAGAATTATCTATGCGATTGTTGCTGACCACGTTCAATACAACTTTTCAAGGTTAGTATACCTTTAACTGAATCAACCATTACCAATTAACGCCTATATTCTGCCAACTAAATGATACTTTAATAGTCGTCAAATTATCAACTGAAACACACACAAACATATTCGGCTTAAAAATAGAGCGATTGTCCCTGATGCATACAAAATTGCTTCAGCTCAATCAAGCATATATAATAAAGCATGAGTCGCTCACCCTCAAGGTGGTTCATACGCTCAACATTTCAGTTTCCTTCACCACTATACGCCAACCAGCATACAGAAGGACATTATCAAGCACATCTCAAATAGCTGAGAAAACAACAAGACATTCTAAAGTGGCTAAGGTGGAAGATGTAAATTCCTTTCAGGATGCAGCGCGACGGAAAAGATAGCTTTAGGAAAGGGACTGCTAGAATAGGTTAGGAATAGAATAAGATAGGATAGGAATAGAATAAGAATATATTAAGGTAGGATAGGAATAAAATAAGAATAGATTAAGATAGGATAGGAACAGCATAAGAATAGAACCGGGTAGAATAGGATAGTGTTAGTTTAGTTGAAGTAGTCGCGAGTCCATTCTCGTGTTTAGCTAGTCAAGAGGAGACTCTCGAGAAGGACAGTTTTTAGTGGAGTCGTCGTGTAGTGAAATGAATATTATAGAATAAATGAATAGTCCCGTAACAAATCAATTTCTTGCGTTTCCTTCCCTGGGCCCCTAAGCTGACTCAGACTTAGGCAAAGGGACGAAACGTCCTCACAACACTTTATTTATCACTCTCGTCTGCAGGACCACGGTTAGATATAACTTCATGGAAACTTCCTATGCTGGGACCTCAGTAGAACACACTATTGGCTTCCACAGTGCCGTAATTCTTGGAGCACCCTGCTTACAAAGCCGTCTATGATGTTCGAGCTTCATTACTGGCAATTAAAACCTGCAATATCGCACTCGGCGCTACTTGGGGTCTACCATTTTCAAACATTTTCCAGCCAAAAATGGCGTGCTCTGCATGTTGCGTTTCTTTCCGACCATTTTGGGGAGTTGGCGAGCTGTCGTCACTGAACCTGTACAGGTGCAACAGTGAGGTGAGTCGATATGACGATGGCTCGTGGGGTGGTTTATTGCCTTTCGTCATTAGGACCAACTTTTTCACCTTCCATTTATCTGAGAACATCCCCTCATTTACACACTTTTTCCTATCACTGCCTTTAAGGTCCTGGTTGGAAATGCATCCAGACCAGGTGTTTTTCTGTTCCCGATTTTTTGCAGGCGATTAGTAGCTTTCCCGCAATAATTGAGCTTCATTGTCTGTGTCGTAGAAGTCTACGGCGGGAAAAGTTATGTTACTATCTCGCGGAGCATGAGCACGTGACTTGCGGCGTTCTCTCTCTTGATGTCTACTTTTTGGGCCATACGATCAAAGCTTACTTTTTTGCCGCTGCTTATAGGGGATGAACAGCTCGTTAAAGGCCTGCTTTCGACCTTCTGCCTCTTTTTCGAAATGTATTCCTAGGTCCATGATTAAGGCGAGATACTTCCAACATCGTAAATGGCTTTGGGCAGAAAAAGTAGGAATCCTCCTCGCTACAACTTTTTGTAATGTAGTCTTCGTCTTCACGTATACGACAGGCTTTTGATCGGTAAAATAGACCCGCACAATATCTTGCCATATGTCCGCATCCCAGGCATCGCCAAGGATATGCGCTCCCTGATCTTGCAGATCAGCCATCTTATGCGCACCTTTTCGGCTGTCAGTAGCTTGGCGACTTCTTTCTGTTGCAGACTTATTACTACCATCTGCGTTCCACTGTATGCCTTCCACCACACCTCAGCGTATGCCACCCGTATTGTGGCTTACGTTCATTACTTACGTCCTCACTCCTTTCTTAGATTTTCCGCTTTCCCACCGGACTGGTTAAGCAGTTCGCCCTTTCTCGTTCTTTTTGTCTTCTGCACTACCTCCCCAAGCTGGTTTATTTCCGGTTCGGTTTTAACCTTTCGCAGCATATAGGCATAGGAGATCTCACCTTTAGCGGGTATAACAATAATAATATCGCACCTTGGGAGGTCTTCTTGGACGACCTGCCTTTTTTTTCTTCGCTTCCATTTTCATCCGCTCACTTCCTTTAGAGGGTTCTGGTCGTCAGCTATACCTTTTACTTGCTATTCCGTAGACCTTAATGTGGTCGCTACGTTACGACGTCAGGACGGCCTGTCTGTGCCCCCGGGTTGTTTTTGCTTACCTTCCTTAAGTCTACTCACGGCCTGGCCAACCCCGACTACTTTCTCTTCACTTTGCTTGCTTTTAGCAGAGGGTAGATTTGCGAATCACCGTCATCTACCGCTCCTTGTATGTGTGCATGCGCCGACGTTTGGGAACTCTTATCGCTAGTCTTCATATGACTGGCTTTCGCAGCTTGCCCCTCAAGCCGGCGTTATTCGTACACCGTTCTAACGCTATCTATCTTTAAGCGCCGCCTTTTCCCGTCATTTCCACCATTTCCGCCAGCTCTCTGTCGTAGCCGCCAAACCGAACAAAGGTTGTCTCGTTCTCCGCATTTCTTGCGTCGCCACTTAATTGCTCGGGGAGTGCTTGTACGTCTACTATCGACATCCTTATTTTGTTCCAATTACCCAATGGTTACCTATGCAAGGAAGGAGGCCATGCGTGGTTTCATGCTAGTTCTTATAAGACCAACGGTCAATACCAGCTTCCTACGCCATGAAACGGCCCGGAGCGTTCTTCTCATAGTCAAGATTTTACCGGTCCCCTACACATAGGCATATACCACGGACCTTCCTTCCTCGCTGCCATTGACCTACTAGGAGTGGGTGCCTACTCACGCCGTCGCCGAAATAGCTTTGGAATCAGGCTTGTATGACTTTAATTTGGACTCAAGCCGTTCACTATTCGCTACGAATCTTAGTTGCTGTTAGGTAGTGCTTTGTCCTGTGGGGACCCAAAGTCGTCCCCCGCTTTGGCCTCACGGGTTCTCCGTCTCTGGCGGAGAGAGAGAGAATGAGCGCTAGCTTTAGTCAGAGAGTAAATTAGCATACGAATAAGATAGACTTAGAATAAGAATAGAATAAGAATAGGATATGCTTAGAATAAGAATAGGATAGACATGGGAGAAGAATAGAATAAGAGTAAGGTTAGGAATAGAATGAGATGAGGGATAGAATAAGAATAGGTTAAGGCTAAGGTACAGTAGAATAAGTGAGTCGTAATTTAAGGGAGTCGAGCTTAGGCGCTCGGTGGAGAGAATCGTATTTTAGTCATCGTTGAGTTTAGTCGGAAATCGGATAAGAAGACCGAAATATACAATCGAACAATAAAGCTCCCTGTAACAAATAAATATTCTTGTGTTTTTCTGGGCCGCTGAGCTACCGCAGCCCCAGATTATGGCCAGAAAAGGCCTCACAGTCCTCTATCGAGAAAAGAAATATCATTTTGGACGAACGTTACTTTCTAGCTTACTGATAAACAATGTTGAAAAGAGTAAGTTCTTGCAAAAACAAGCTGCCGAAATCAAAGCGTAACTTCTCATGTTGTGCCCGATTTCTTGTCTCTTTTCAAAAATTATATCTAGTTCTATTACCTCTTTCTCCTATATCATCTTCTGGCAATATTGATCTTACCACTGTTTTGCATCATCTGTTGAAATATTACTTTTTCGAACCTATCAAAAAGCTTAATGCCCAAAATATAATTGTATTGCTTGAAAACTTTGTTTTTCCCATTTTTGGCGTGTCAGTCACAACTGGCAACGCTGTTCAATTCAAGCCATCCCTGTTCAAGCTCTTGTTAGAGAATTGTGGCGATCACCATAAGCTAACTGCCTTTTTTCACCGCAAACTAATGCGGGTGAATTAGTGAATCGATCTATTTTAGCCATTTGAGCATACATTAAACCCTCTCAACGACTTTGGGAAGAAAACTTATCGAACATCGGTTGTGCCTTAGAAGTGCTGTTCATGCAAGCATAGGATTTTTACTTTACTATGTTCTCTTGGGTTAACACATACTAAATAGTGGCAAATCATATGCGTTATTGCGAAGCTTGATTTTTTACAAGACCCTTTTTCTTAAATAAGAACCGACGAAAAGTTGGAGATAATCATATATGTGTCAATTAATCAATTGATTGAGTGCAGGGAAATGTAAGGAGGAAAGCAGCTTTTATGCTTTTACCAAAAAAATTGATCAAAAATGCGGGAATACCAAAGAGAAATTTATAAACTACCAATAGAAAAAAAGTTACCTTTTAGCAGAACGTTTATGAGTCGGTTACTGCAAACCCACTTTGGAGTTAATTAGACTTTCATTTTTGGCGTCATGTGTGGTTAGACAAAAGAAAAAGAAACATAAAAGTAGAACAATCAATAACGCTTCCAAGTTAATAGACACTCAGAAACTATTAATGTTTCTTTGTAACAGCGGCCTAGCTGTTGTTCGGTCGAGCGGTTGCCCTCAGCCCGTGATTCCGCATTACAAAAAAACATTAACTACTAATACAAACAAAACCACTAAAAAAAGTTCTTTCATTTCCACTATAGAATCATGTCGTCTGCCCTGTACGTCGTTCTTTGGTCTCTCCTTCGTCTGTCGGTATCTGTCCAATTTCCTCAACCCCGGAAAAAGGCGTCTTCACACACGTGACACATAGCAGTTTTGATTCTTTTTTCCTCTTTCTCTATGTGATACCCAAACTAACCCAGCGAATTCTGAAGCTTATGTGACGGTAGCTTTCTTTTTTCTTTGCGACTGCTTTGCTGTAGAAATAATTTTACACGCACTTCTCTTCATGCGGCTTCTTCTTTACGCGTGGATTTCAAGGGCGTTTGTAGGAGGCTACAAAAAAACGTCTGGCCCCAGAAATGAACTCACACATTTTTCTTTTGCTTTTTTTTTTTTTAAGTATTTTTATTTAGAGATTTTAAAGGGATATATACACAATATCATTTTGTTCACGATACATTCATTTAGTTATTTATTCGGTTATTATTTACAAGTTAAGCTAATGTTACGAAATTTACTTTTCCTCTTTCTGTTACATTTTTTTTATACCATAAATAGATTTTTACTTAATTCATAACGAGGGATGATGTGAATAGGCGTTCATGTATATGAAGAAAATAAAATTCTCTCTCCTTTGAAGTTTATTCTGTACCATTCTATTTTTTTATTATTATCTTTGTCCCTTTGTTTTTAAATCTTATGTACTGTTTATGTACCCATATCAAACTATTTTTGTAGGCATAATTATTATGGATTCAAAAACCAAAAATTCTCCTTGTTGATAATAACAATTGCAATCATAATTTTTTCCCATTTATTTTCATCACAAGCACGGACATTATTTATTTATATAGATACACAGTTTTGTTTCTCGGTTTTAGTCCTCAATAAAATACAAATTACATATCTTTTTTTTTATTAATATTTTCTATTCAAAAAACAAGGAGCGACTCCAAGTTTGTTTCATACAAAAATATTTGCTATCTTTTTTAGGTTTATTGCCTTATAATATATATATTTAAAATTATAAATTTTTTTCTTTTCAGTTTTAACATAACGTTAGATGGTTCATTCAGCAAAAGATTTTATTTTAAAAGCAATACAAAAATACTTCGCGACAGTAAACATTTTTTTTTTTAAGTAAAATGTAATTAACAGAAACAGTTAGGTAGAACAACCGATATCAGAAGTTAAAGACTTAATTATGTACAACGCACAGTACCTTTCACCAGACAAGACCAAACGTTAACTGATCATCCAAAACTCCTCTCTCAAAACTTTTCCTGTGACGTTACCCGAACATATGTACGTCAACATCGTAAAGTAAAACGTACATAATGTTACATGTGGAATTTTGCAAAAGTTTCGCGTGCCCAAAGAACATTTTCAATATTTTTAGAGAAAAAATTGATAGGAGTAACTCTTTGTTGTGCTTTTCATGCTGTTGTGAAGTGATTTTATACAATAAACCGTGGTTAGGATACCCTAATATTTATTCAAGTGATTGGATACGTAAATGAACCTACTAAAGTCATATGTTAATGTATTAATATAATACATAACATAAAACAAATGATACACATGCAAATTCAAAGTTCAAGTCAATTTCAATTCCAAGTTTTCCTAAGAAATGAAAATGTAAAATCATTTATCAAAAATTTTCCATAATTTTTTTTTTTACTTACGTGTGTATGGTTTTTTTATTGATTGTACGATTTGTAACATTGCACAAATTTGTTTTTTTGGTTTTTTCTTTTAAAAGTGCTTTTCATTTTTTTTGGGTGGTTGAGCGGAGACGGAAAAACGCTTTTATTAGTCTTCGTTTTAATTCGTCAAAAAATTTACAGTTTTATTTTTATTTGTTTGTATACTTTTGTTATTAATTGTATCGTTGTAAACAAACAAACGTCAATTCTGCCCTTTATTTTCCATTATTTTTTCGAAATAAATTTCGAATGACGAACGCCACATAACCAAAAGGTTTCCCACCAACTAAGAAGGCCGAAATATTATCACTCAAAGAATTTTGTCGAGAAATTTTTAAAATTTCCGTTTTTTTTGCATATGACGACATTTCGAAATAGGGTGTTGGACGGGAAGTGGTCAAAAAAGGCGTATAAAGCAAACCATTTTCAATAGTGTTGTAACGGGGGTTGTTTTTTTATAGCTGGGGTTTCGCTCAGGGCTATGCAGAGGTCCGTTCCAATGAATTTATTCTTTTAAATAAGGGAACCTTCGTATTATAATCTGGTCCGGTAGGTACATTATTTTATTTAGTGGAGTCGGGTGATCGCACTGCTTAGCAGCTGTCCGCTCAAGCCGCCAAAAGAGGTGGATTCATCAAACTATTTTACTGGGAGTTGGTTAGGCTGAAATATTAAATTGCTAGCTATTTCAGCAGCGATAATATTGATTTCGGGTGACGATGGTCCTTCCGGCTGTCCTTGCGCTACTCCAAAAAAAAAAAAAAATCCACAATAAGAAATAGTAACGTATTGGTAATGTTATTCGAGAAGGGTAGAGAGATTTATTTTTAAATCTCTATGTTCGCGACAGCGCGATTACCACGATTTAATTTGTCGCCTCACTGAACAAGTATAATGATCGCATGATCATTCCTCAAGCGGAAAAAAGCAATCGGTGGACTGCGGCAAACTCCACAAGACAAAACTTACTGAAGTTATGTATTGCCATTCGTCAAGAGGAATAAAAAAAATGAATTGCAACCTTATCCGGTGAAAAGTTTATAGTCGTACGTGCCCATGGGCAAGCAATTTTCACCCCGTACGAGTAAAATGACGTTATATCAATTGGAATCCGGCAAGTTGTAACGGCCGCGAACAAACCTTGGGTAAGGTGGCTGTCGGTCTCTATCAACCGCAAGTATCGGAATAACGGCATGCCGTTAGACAAAATCATGCGATTTTGTAGTACTGTTTATAAATCACATGATCTTGCGGTATATGTTTATTTTACTCTTCTCTGATTTCCTTGTTTACAAGTACAGGCAAAATCGTATGATTTTGCGGTACTCCTTTTTTTCCTTTTGCTTTTGCAAGCATAGGCAAAATCGTATGATTTTGCGGGATCTATGCTTGCTCTTGTGAGAGTAGCGGCAAGCCGTTATAGAGAGAGCAACAGGAAGAAGAAGAGGGAAATTGAGTAAGAAGGAGAAGTCTGTCTGCGTTTTAAATTTAAGTCAGAGGGGATAGTTTTAAGTTGAGTTTAGTTCTAGTTGAGTTGCAGTGTAGACCTCAACGATTGCGCTTGCTTTTCTATTGTTTTTTGATTGTGCGGCTGAGCCGTGGTTGTTTTTTCTTTTTCTGAAATATGGGCTCAAACTGAAAATCGAAATTCAAAAAAAGGATAAATTTTAATTAAAACCTCAAAAAAAAAAAGGATAAATTTTAATTAAAACCTCAAATAACAGAAAAAAAAAAAAACAATAAAAAAAAGAAGGTGGAACAATTAAAAGAAGCATAAGAGAAGCAAGGCAAGAGTAATGGCTGCACCGTTCTTTCAATACAAGAAGCAAAAAAGTTTTCTTATCAACAGAACAATGTTTTATAATAAAAAATAGAAAAGGATTTACAAAAAAAAAAAGAAAAAAAAAATAACCAATACAGCAACTTGACAAAGTAAACGCAATTGGAGTAAAGAAAAAAAACTGCACGGCTTAAGAAATTTGTTCGGAAGAGAAATTAATTAAATAAGATAAAAAAAATTGTAAAAATTATTTATAAAAACTCAGGAAATTGCTAATAAAAAAGTTCTTCAACATTATCATCAAAAAGATCCCAGTTTATTACTGCAAACAGCGTTTACCCGCGTGCACCTATGCACACAGCAATGGAAATTAAAGTTTGTATGGGAGTGGAAAAGGCTTAATAGAAAGAGGAGCAGGGATTGCGGATGTAGCAGCTACCGCGGCCGACACTGCACCGACGCCGATGCTAGTATTGTGAGTCATTTTTAGTCTATTTAATTTTTTTGTCCCCGATGAGTGGCTAAGCGCGAGGTGCCACCGCTGTGGCTGAGACGAAAGGGTGTGCATATGATGGCACTGTAGGGAGGACTCCAGACGACGACCGACTGACTTACAGTGGACAGACAGACGGCAGACAACCGACGGGACTTTTCTTTTTATTTTATTTTTATTTCTTTGTCAGAAAAAGACAAATACTCAGCCGGCAATGAAAGTAACGAGTCTCGTGACAAAGTGGCGCCCAACGTAAACCGAACTACCAGGTTTTTCTTTGGTAATTTTTGATTATCATTTTCGAAACGTTGGCTGACAAAGGAACGCCCAACAGAATTCGGCCTATTATACTAATTTTTCTTTTACATTTTTTGGATTAACGTTGGTCGCATTGACAAAGTGGCGCCCAACGAAATTACAACCCGGATAAATAATTTAAATCCAGCCTTCATAAGTATTTAGTTATAACAGACGTTGGTCGCTTGACAAAGTGGCGCCCAACGACTGTAAAACCCAGTATAAAAATTTTTCGTATTGATCAACGTTGGTCGCATGACAAAGTGGCGCCCAACGCAAAGCGAAACCGCATAAAAAAAAAAATTTTGTAATAATTTTTAAATTGATTGAAAAAAAGGAAAACCTTTTTCTTCGTTTATTGATCAACGTTGGCCGCAGAATCATGACAAAGTGGCGCCCAACGTGAAGCCCACACACTACAAGGTGTATAAAGTTTTTTCTTTTATTGATTAATGTTGGTCGCCATAAGACCGTGACAAAGTGGCGCCCAACGAAAAGTAAACCCAGATAACAATTTTTATCTGTTTTAAATTCATTTCTGTCATTTTTTTTTTCTTTTATTGATTAATGTTGGTCGCCATAAGACCGTGACAAAGTGGCGCCCAACGAAA